CAAAACAAGAGACTTATCAGCTGTGGTGCAGTGACTGCTAGCTTGGTGGCTTCCTGAGCTGCCACACAGGTGACACGGACTGCTCAGGGCCCAGTCACTCACCCCGGGTCCTCACCGCCTGCCTGCAGTCGCTCTCAGATGCGATGTGGGTGAAGTTCACAGACCTGCCCTGGGTGGCACTGGGTGGCACCAGCATCTTACTCAGCTCCTCAGGATCTCAGGTGTCAGTCTTTTTCCCCTTCTGTCCACTAGTGGGCCAGAGGAGACTTCTCCCTCCTCAGTCCCAGCCTGAAACACTGCTGCCCCTCACTGCCTTGTGGCGACATGTGGGACACAGTCCTGCCTGTGTGTAGTCCTGCTGCCACTGCCTGGGCAGGCTGGGTTTCCAAAGCACAGACAAAAGCCCTGCACCGCAGCTCTGCCCCATGAGTTGTTCTGTGCTGAGGCCAGGCACAGATCAGATTCCTCTTCTGGTCCACTTCTACTCTGCCAGTGCAGGGTAATCTCTGCTATTCCACCTCTGGGAATAACTCAGTTATCTCCCAGGAGCCCCTTGTTCTGTTTCATCCTTTCTTTTTTACCAGGCCACACATGCAGCTGAAAATGAGAGGGCTGGTCCCAGCGCAAAGTGTGCCCCTACCCCTCCACCCACCTTGAGTTCCAAGCTCTGAGCCCTGAGCTCTGGCAGGCCTCCAGCTGTGGACCATTATCGTGATCTCACTCTCCAGAGCTTGAAAACGGCACAGTGCTGCTGCCCCGTGCAGCGCCTGCCTCCTGCTCACCCTTCTCCCCTGGCTCCTGTCTAATTAAGCACCATTGCTCCTCCACCTCCATGTTTTGGCCCTGCTCTGCCCTCGGGCTGTGGCTTCTGTGATTCTCCACACTGGCTTTGCCCATATGTGTGGCAGTTGGCGTGGGACGGTGTCAGGGCTGGGGAAGCCCTGCTCCCTTCCACTGCACTGGCAGGCTCAGCTGTGAGCCGGGGTCCGACATGCTGCCCCAGAATGGCAGGAGCTTCTCTCCAGGTGGACTAGCGTGAAAGCTATGCCTGTTCAGTGCAGGCCCCTCCGTCCCCACCAGCAAGTTGTCTTTCAGCTTGAGTGTGGATTTTGGAATTGCTAAGAAGTGACTGTCTGGGTTCAAGGGCTGCTGGCCTCAGGCTGCGGCTTTCCTGGACAGACTTCCATCTCAAAGCTTTCCAGGGAAGCCACCCACGTGGGTGCATCCTGAGAAGGGAGAGCTTCCCATGGCTGCCCACGCCACATGGCCGTCTGTGTTGAGACTGCTGCATGGCTAAACAATACCTGGGATTGGAAGACTCAGAACCAGAAGTGGATAAGAGCTTACCAGCAATTTTATACTGACCAGTTGATTGTTATGTTTAAGATGATATCTTGCATATGTTGGGTTAAATAAAATACATTGTTATAACTAATTTCATGTATTTATTTTTACTTTTTAGAATGTATCTATCAGAACATTTAAAACTAGTATTCGCCGGGTGTAGTGGTACATGCCTGTGATCCCAGCTACTTGGGAGGCTGAGTCAGGAGAGCCTGGCTTAGGCAACATAGCGAGACCTTGTCTCAAAATAAAAAAAGAAATGGGATGGGGGTATAGCTTGGCACTTCCTGAGTTCAACGCTGACAAAAACCAAAGCATAACACAGGCTGCTTGCATGGTGTGCCCACTGGACAATGCTGGACTTTGCCTCAAGGTGAGATCACAAATAGTTCTTAGCATCTCTTCCAAACCCTTTCTGCACCGCTCATTGGCAAGGCCTCAGTTAATAACTGAGGGTCTTGACAGTAAACCCTGAATTCCTTTTCACTGTCCCCAGCTGGCACTGGAGCACATACGTAAACTGCACCCCCACACCAACAGTATTCCTGAGGCCTAGTTGTGACTGACCTCACAGAGCTTCCTTTTTTCTCGTGATTCTTTTGAAGAAGCAGACAGGGATAAAACAGTGCTGAATTCCTTCCAGTTTAAAACCACACACCACCAACCTCGCTTCGCAAGCTTTACACCATTACAACAAACAGCAATGCTAAAAAAGCAAACGTGGTTGGCGGCGAGCCATTCATCACCAAGGGCCTGCTTATCCCCTCGGAGGCCAAACAGAAGATATTTCACTGTCATCAGGTCTGGGAGAATATTTATGTTACGCTTGGACTCAGGCCCAGGGACTGAGTATAACAAAGTCATTAATCTGGGTTGTGTTTTCAAGCTCAGGGTGAGTGGAAACCCTGTTTATTTGAATCGAGATTATCTTTGGTTCACTGTGCTCATTACCTCTTATTAGTTTAATAGCATAAGCTTCACATTCTCACTTATAAAATGTATGTGTTAAAGAAAAACTGCTCTCAGAAAGGCACAGGATTTGCCTTGGTAATGACTATTTTTTGCAAGAAAATCAGAACCCACATAATAAATTGGGAGTTGTCCACGAACTTGCAGTATGGATTTAACTTCTGGTTATCTTCACAAGGAGAACATACCCTGCTCTGGAGTTGTGTGATTGTAGAGGATTTTGAGTTGCTCGGGTGCTGGAGGCCTCCCCTGCCCTTTCTGAAGTGCCGAAGTCAGTGTAAACACAACTACGATAAATGATCAGCAACTCTCCGCTCTGTGGTGCTTTCCTCCCTTCTTGGCTTCTCACGGTTTTGAACATGATTTCACTGGAAAACAAAGTAAGAGCAGCTCTGCGCTTTCTGTCCTCTGTGTGACAGGGAAGCCTGAGAGAATGAGTATAATTTCAGGCTAACTCAGCCTCAGTGCCTTCGGGGCACCCAGGGCAGGGGCTCAGGAATTCACGTCTGCTGAAGCTGAATCCTTAGGCAAACGTTGGCATTGTTCATCTCTCCGGCTTCCCACTGCTAAGAACAGAAGCTGCACTGTGTGTTATAAAATTAGACATGTGTATGTTTTCTAGGCAGAGTGTGAAACTCACTTCCCATCCTTTCCTCCTGCGCGAGGCAGGTTTTCTAGGGAGACCCAGGAGCCATCTTATGCGCCCGCCCCTGGGGTTTGTGAACTGACAAGGTTTCCTCCTGTGGTGGCATTTGCCACCCACAGCTGTCCAGGTGGTCCAGATGGCCGCAGCTGGCCACAGAAGCTGCAAAAGAGAGAATTCTACACTTGGTGGTGGAGGGGAACCAGAGAGATGTGGAGGGGAACCAGAGAGATGTGAAGCACGGACACACTATTGGCTTGAAAGACGGAGGTCAATGCAGAGGCATGAGGATGGCAGCCAGGCTGGTGTCGGCAAAGCCAGGACTTTTGGCCTGTGCTGCTGGAACCAAAGCTACGGCACTGGGCGATTGTGGCCAGCCATCTCCTGCATGCCTGCAAGTCCTGTGAGGCCCAAGTGGGTGTCTGACTCACAGGACTGCAAGACAGAAATGCCAGTGTCCAGCAGGAATGCGTGCTGTGGAGAGTGCTCGCCTGGATGCTTGCAGCCTAGGCAGGAGCAGGTTTTAAGCTGCAAGTTTGTGGCAGTTTGCTGAATTGTGCGGCTTTTCTTCTTCATGGTGGCTTCTGGCAATGCTGTGCTGCAGCCTCCCTGAGTTACTGTGAGGGCCAAGGGACCCTCAAGGAGTCTGTTGCAGAGCCAGCTCCTCCCTGCTGCATCACTGGCACCACCACATCTGCCCAGGGACAGCACTGCCTGGAGTGGCCAGTACACAGCTCCAGGCACACAGCAGGTTCCCGATGCGCATGCGCTTGTGCACAGCCAGTGCTCAACAGCCAGGTTCATGCTCATCCAAAATCTGTGTTTGGAAAGGAAAATGCAGTCTATCCTCCAGCTGGGAGTTTGTAGAAAACTGTGTAAACAAAGCACCCAAATGCTCAGATGTGTGCTATGTCCAAAGAGGGTGGTCAATCAGGTAAAAATGAGGGAGACAGCCTCCAGGAAGGACAAAGAGATGTCTGCAGTGACAGGGAGGTGCAGCTCAAGGCGACACGGAACTGCTCCGTAGGCTGAGGCAGGCTGTGTCCATGTAGTAGGGGCAGACTTCATGCCTAGGCTCGGATGTCTTGAAGTTTGTTTCCCACACTCCTATGTGCTCAGGTCTGTATTAGGAAGCAGCACTACTCGGTGGGCTGCGGAGCACAGATCCTGGGGTGGAGACCATAGAGCTGGGCCAGGAGGGGCTCGTGATGATCTTCAGGCCACAAGGAAGACATATGTGGCTCTATGAGACCCCTTCTTAGGGGTCCCAAAGTCGAACACTCTTTGTAAAGTGAGCACCACAGGCAGGACAGCAAGGACTTCTGCGAGGCTCATGGACATGTGGGCTGCAGCATCTTCCTGTCCAATCTGCACAGGACTGTGGGGAGCAGGGGTGGGGGCCTGGACCCTGGGTTCAGAGCAAAGGTCTAGGGTGCAGCAGGAACCAAGGGCTGAAGCAGCACCTCCTGGAGGTGGGCGAGGTGGAATAGGTTCTCTTCCCGAGTAGCCAGGCCTCTGTTGCTGGCACCAAATACCTGACACACACAATGTCAAGCAGGACACAGCTTATTTTTGCTCATGGTTTCAGAGGTTCTCTCTACACCCAGCTGGCTCCTACCAGAAACACAGTGGAGGGCATAGTGGAGCAGAGCTCAAGGAAGCAGAACCAGGGACCAGCGGCAGAGCTGGACAGATGCAGACCCCATGGTGGCCTCCACGGCCCTCCCACTGTACCCAGTGTGAACACTGCTGCCTAAGCAAAAGAACAAGGTAACTTATTGCTCAGCACTCAGAAAGACTCTTTGCTCTCAACAACACAGATGTAAGCAGAGCTTCTGACCCTAGCGGGCAGCAGTGCCTGAAACCTAGTCCATCTGTCACCTTTTGTCTGCTGAATATTTCACTGTCACCTAGACTTCTGGAGACTGGCCATAGAGTGGCCATGGTTAGCACATCAGATGTCACTCCAAGGTTGTCTTGGGAACCAGAGGACATCACCCAACACACTGGCTTGAAAAGACTTCTATTTAAAAATGAGTCACAGTTGTTTTTAAAATTAGAGTAAACTTTACTTGTGGCAGGTTTTAAAAAAATGGTTTTATAAAGTATGTAATAAATTTTGACACATTAATCTTAATATATATTTACCATATAAGATTTTAAAAAACAATGTCAAATAGCTTGTAATCAACATGAATTGAATATAACTTGATACTTATGTGGAATAACTTCAGCGTTACAAATATAAACTAAAATGCATACCATTGAAATCTGCATTTGTAATACAATTCTATGTTTGTTAACATTTGATGAGAAAGCGTGAGCTCAAATGCTGTGCTGGGATGTCCAGGGACGTAGATGTCCTGGCTTTCTCTTGAGGATGTTCCTGGCTCCCTCTGAGGAAGCCCTGGAGTCAGCTCTATGCCAAGGGCGAGGGTCCCGTGAGGAGGAAGGCGGCGGTGGCGGTGGCAGGTGGAGTCTGATCTCATGGACACCATTTCCTGGTAGAGCCACAGGACTGTCCAAGTGTGAGCGATGGGATGGGGCAGACCTGACGCTTCCTGAAGCTGATGCCGACGATACTTCACAAAATGCTACTTGTACAGCCATGGAAAATCCTGCTTTCTCATTCAGTTCTATGTTCTGAGGCCAGTGCCAGACATACTGCCCACACGGAGGTCGTCCTGAATCCGGATGATGACTCACATGCAGCACATGCTCAGGGTTGGACATGTCCCCTGCCCTGTCACGCTCTCTGAGCCACTTTCCTTTCAGATGAAGGTGCTACCCAGGTGGTCAGTGTGGCCCCTTTTGGGCACTGCCTGGTGGCCACAGCCAAGCCTTTCCTGGTTGGCAGGCTCTGCACATGCCTTTCTGGTGTTCAGGCTCAGAGCTCACCACGGTCTCGCATGACACAAGGTGGGCCCCACAACACTGTGTGACTGGGGAAGAGTCAGCTGCTTCTGTTCCCACACAGGAGATGAAGCCAGCACCACACCGAGACGTGGGTGGAGGCACTTAGGAGAATGGCCCTCCACATGCTTGCGCGGGCACCCTATAAACTGGGTTCCTGCTGTCGTTGGCACCTGGAGCCAGCGCTGATGAGCACTCACCATGCTACTCCAACGGACATGGGCCCTGCCGAAGTACTGACCTGTCTCTCAGCACATCTGCATGTATTTAAGAATGTTCACAACACATATTTCTGATTATTCCCCTATCACCAAAATACCATATTAAGAAACAGGTTGAAATGTAAAACCATTTTCTGAATAATATTCCAATACAGGGATGAAACACAGAAATAAAGTCTTGATACACTCCATCTCTGTAAGTGTGCTGGGACCTAGAATACTCCCACACCTAGAATCCCAGCACTGTAGGAGGCTGAGGCAGGAAGACTGCAAGTTCCACTCCATCTTGGGCAACTTGATAACTTAGCAAGACCCTGTCTCAAAATAAGAAGTAAAAAAGGAAAATGGAGTGGGATGTAGCTTAATACAAAGGCCCTGGGCTCAATCCCTGTTCCTCGTCAAAAACAACAAAAAAGCAAAGAACGCTTTTCCTTTTGTCTTATTCTGCTCACCCTCATGTTCATTCATGCACTTGTACCCACCACGGGGGCATCGCATGGCGCCAAACATGCTGGGCCCCCGGTGCTGGCCGGACCAAGTCTGAGCCCCAGGTGTTTCAGTCTGGCCGAGGTCGCCACTACCTGTGGCATTCTGACTAGAGGGCTCCTGATTTATAACAAACCACCACCGTTTGCACAGTAAACAGTATTTTTTAGAAAAATATAAGAAATATGGTAATAAATTCAATACAAATTATGGACTTAACTATTCTTTGGCTATTTTAAACACATTATTTGGTTTTCTATATTAAAGTGATAATAAAAATATAAAAATGTAACTACAGCAATGAATATCACCTGTAAACATGATCAATCCTGTAAACACGGACTCACTGCTCACCAGGGAGCCGTGCAGACAACCCCAACCCGCCGTTCCAGGCGCAGTAAGAACACTGCTCCGTGAGACCTTGGGGTTTGCAGGAGACGTGTGAACTCTGAGGAGCAGCACTGCCGGGTCAGGCAAAGGATGCTCCAACACTGTGTCCTCAGCAGGACTTTGCCCCTCTCAGAAGTTACTGTGTTCAGTAAAGCTTCATATTAATGAAAGTTTAATACTTTTAAAATGAACAACTGAACAATTTTGCTGCAAGTCGACTGGCTAAAAATGTAGGTAATACAGCCTCCAAGGTTTTCCTAAAACTCTAGGATGACGTAAGGTGCATTGGGCAAATCTACAAAGTAATAAATAGCTTATGTAGCACTAAACTTACGTAGCACTAAATACTAAAGTATTTTTCTCAAATTGCAGTTTTCCTTCTCAAAAAAAGCATCAAACTTTTCATGTGACACCTATCACAAATATTTCACAGTTATAATTTCAGTAGTTTAAGGAAGATCTGCATGGCAAATACTGTAAGAGGTAAATGTTAAGGACAGAATTGACTCCTGCAGGCACTTGGATTCATGTCCTATAGTGAGAGCTCTACAGACAGGACGAAGTAACTGTATCAATGCACATTACTTAAATTGACTGAAATAATAGCAAAACTGTCATACTATTTCTTCTAATGTTTTAACGGTTTTCTCCAGTAACTGGGAACAATCAGTGGCTGAGTTTTAGTAGTTCCCTGGAAAATTTTAAGTCATAATTTTGTTTATAAAACTGGCAGCAAAAACACCATCGATTGTTATTTGTAATCTAATCGACTCCATCAAAACCCTGAGTGTTTTCAATTGCCATCTGAAGTTTATCCCATAATTCTTCAAATGATTCATAGGGTGGCAGGTCCAAGCGATTGAAGCTGAAAGAACCGGGAAGAATGGTTAGGAAGGACAGCGTGCCAAGTCCCACAGGGGAAACCAGCCGTACAACCTCCAGCAGGGAGCTCTGGCCCTCTGGGGACAGGAACGCCGTGGGGTGGAGGGCACATAACCGTCTAGAAGGCCTCCCCACCCGCAGCCACCTGGGCTTGATTGAACTGAGGCCCAGGAGGTGTAGATTCCTCCTCTGGGGATGGTGTCACCAACTTCCTGTCCAGTCCTGTGCCCAATGCAGCACCCAGGGGCTGGACCCGCCAAACCCCAGACTAACAAAGGAGCCGTGATCCTTGCGCGCTTACCAGGTGTGAGCTCTGGGAAGCTTCTCCGGGGTGCCCCACTGCTCCACTGTGAAGGACTGTGGTCCATTGGAGCCTGGGAGGAAGAAGCACTCCTTGGTTTCCTCTGGTCTGCCTGCAATCCCCAGGCATTTCAAAACCACTTTTCTGCATGGAACTTAGACACACAGGGTCCTAACCCTAAACCCTAAAGAAATGAAGGCCGTCCTGAATCTGACTTCATCACCAGCCTTTGACTGAAGAGCCCAAGTCTGTGGGTCCCACCCTGCCCTGTGCATGGGACGTACGAAGACACTCTTGTGGACTGCGGCTGGGACATGGTGACAGTTTTACATATAAATTTTCTACCTAAGTCCAAAGAGTAAATGAGTGTCCTCTTTCTTTGAGTTGCATGAAAAATAGCTTTAAATTTTTCTGATTATATAATGTCACTGTAAGCATTAGTCAAAATAAAACAATGAAGGATGTAAAAATCGCTTCAGATTCTATCTTGAACTCTGCCTCAAAACTGGTCATGAATCTTTTTTGAGCACGTGCATGTTCACAGAGAGAGTTTTACATGCAAGTGATTATGTTACCTGGTCTACATTTTCCTTCATCATGGACATTTTTAGAAACTGTCTTTTTCCTTTAGAATTCTCACTTAGCTTTTCTTTCTCTAAGCCTTCCAACCACCAGATAATCAATGTTGACAACCTATCTTTAATTTTCCACACTTTTCTTCATGTCTATAATGTGTGTATATGCGTAACTGCCAGAAGTAGCACTGACACACTGAATAGTCTGACTCTCAAAGTTTTCCCCAAACCATAACTTTTCGCACATCACCCACCATATTATTATGTCCATAGCAGAAATCTCACTACTTTTGCCATTCTTATCCATAATGTGGAATCCTATTACACATTTTTCTCTCTGCCTTCTGATTTTTTTTTACCTAAAAAATCTATTATGAAAACTCGAGGTTGACTGATACAAATTTAACATACATTTTATTGATGCATAATATTGCATTGTGATAGAAGCATTTTATAGCAATTGCTACTTCCTTCCATAAATGCATAAAATTTGACTTTATATTCTAACACAAATAACACAGGCTGTGTGTGTGGCTATTTCCCCTAGATTCCAAACAGATTCTGAAGTCTGTGGATGCTGTAGGCCTGCGTTGCAATGGGAGAGATGGTGGATCTGGAGAAGGTCAGGGGTGTTTGTCTGCCCTGCCTAGTTTTCCTTTGCCAACTGTAAGAGCAGGGCAGGGGGGGGTAGTAAGTGAACCAAGCAGAGTCCGAGGCTAACATCCCAGCTAGGCGGGGAGCAAGCTGGTTTGCAGCAAAGCTCATGATCCTGCATGCAGTTGCTTGGAGGACTGTGCAAGCATGTGACTGAGGCTTTGAGGAGATCTGGTGGGCCACAACGAGGACCCAGCAGCCCTCAGGCAGAGGCAGCTCCTGCCTGCATTAGACATGCAGCCTAGCCCATGCTTGCTCTGTCTCTGACTTCCAGTTCCCAGAGCAACTTTGATCTTGTTGCTCTGGTTGGGCTCCAAATTTAGCTACAACTTTGCTTAAAGAATTATTCTTGCTGCTGGGCGTCGTAGCTCACGCTTGTAATCCCATCATTCCAGATACTGAGGCAGGAGGATCACTGTGAGTTCAAAGCCAGCCTGGGCTTTATAGTGAGACCCTGTCTCAAAAAGTCAAAAGAATTGTTCATGGTATTTTTCAAAGCAAGAAAATGTTATTCTAATAAACAGAAAATAAACTGAGAAAAATGTCTATGATTTACATCAGAAATAACACTTTAAAAACTCAGCATACTTCTAATGTGTGCATCTATCAGAAAGTAACCTAACAGGACACAATGAACTCTGCTTCATAGAGAACTTACACTAACTGGTTTGGATACCAAGAGGTAGGCACAGTGTGCCTACCACCCCACAGGAATGGAGAAGCCCAGTGAGATTTCCTGCACTTCAGAAGAAAACAAGGGCTCCGAAGTCTCGGAAACTGTGCTTTAAACCTTTTTAACGGTGGAGTTTCTGAACAAGTCCCTAAGACATCTACAGCAGCTTTCTGTGCTCCATGGGTTGTATTCTGAGTTGCAGCCTGCGACAGTGAGGGGTCTCGGGCCTGTGCTCACTGTCTCCTTGTCACACTCATGACCCAGTTTCCACCTGGGTCACAGTGTGAGATGAGCAAATAGAGCAAGCACAATATACTTTAATGAAAGTTCTGTGCATGTTGCTTCTCTCTCCCAAAGCATCTACTGAACACTCTCACAATGGCTGATGGCAGGTAACTAAAACTGCAGAATAAACAGACGTGGTCAAGGGAAACCACTGTCATTCCCTTCAGTCTTAGCTTTCCCCAGACACAGCCTACAAGGACACTACTTACTGGGGTTCACTTATGAATGTTCTACAGGACTGAGCGCTGCCTGAGCCACTGGCCTGGAGGTTACGCTGTTTCTACCACACAGTCACCACGGGAGCAGAACTGAAAGCTCAAGACAAGAACACAACCCACGCCATTTCCCAGTGGTCCCCTTTGTCTCGGATGAGAAGGCGTGAGCATATTTTGGTCTACTTCAGTGCTACCTAATCATATTCAAAATCTTAATTTTTTAAAAATAAAGTTAAACACATTTATATATGACAGAAGCTTGACAACCGGCCAGCCATGAAAAACACAATTCACTCTATTTTCTAATGATCCAAGGAAAGTCCTTACCATATAGCTCAGCAAATCCATTCATCGGCACCCGGGATGTACCGGTGACAAACTGAAGTAATCGTATTCTTTTTTCTGAATCCATCATTAAAACAGCCTGAGCAGGATAAAAAGCTTCATTTAGAAAAAAGGTACAAAAATAATATTGAAAAATATGTAGTTAGAGGATTAACGATCACTAAATTTGTGGGTTCTTCATGTTAAATGTGCCCTGGTGGGTGGTTTATAAAGTTCTCAAAAAGCTTCTTTCCAAAGCTTCAGTGCAGTTCTGCAGGCTACTGAAGTAACGGCACCCTCTTTTCAGATGTGATTCACAGTATTTTAAACATTACATTTACTGTTACCGTGCATGGCACACACATGCCTCCATGTGAATATTCGCAGGAGCCTGGGGAGCTCCGGCAACACTCGGTGTCATGGTGAGTTCTCCTGGGGTTGCCAGGGTAACTGCAGCCTGAATGTTCCCTCAGCTGGGAATAGGTGGGCAGGGGCTAGAAGGTGTGCACGCTGGGGGGTGGTGTTCTGTTCGCTGTTTATCAACAGTGAATCAGAGGGGATGGGAATTACTTGGCCCTGGAACTACGAGGGTTGTGGACACAGAGGCTGCCTGCTACCTTCCAGAACCACTGTATGACTTGGTGACTTGCGCTGTAGCCGTTCTTGTACTTTGTGTGCTCCCGCCAGTCGCTCACATCCACGTCTCCCAGCCCGCACATGAGAAGCTAGAAACGGACAAGACCGTGAACAAGGAGAGTAACAGGTAACACTCCTGTTCCCACTCAAAACTGGCACTTTTTACCTCCAGTTCATTTTCATCAAAAAGTTTGATGAGATCCTGTGGTATTAGTTCAAAAAATCCCTGCAAGAGAAAAAGACATTTAATGGTTCGGTTGGCAGGCTCTGTGCACCTGCACGTGCTCTGGTCTCTGGGTGCTTCTGGACAAAGCCTCGCCACCTAACGTTCATATCCATTTGGGGTCTTTGCTGGGGTCACATGTGGCAAGAACATGTCTTGGTCCACAGCCTGTCCTCTCCTATTCTCCTTCACACTGTTTTAAAACTCGTGCTCCGCAGTCTCCTCCACGCCAGTCCCTTCTGCAGGGTAGAAAAGTCTCTGTGAGAAGGGAGACAAGGCCACGACACCCCCCACCTGTACCTTTCACCTGGAAACAGTGACCTCAGGAGTGCAGGGGGACAGCGCCATGCCCTTGTCCCCTAGGGGCTGCGGCTGAGCCCCATTTCCAGGGCCACTGCGCCCACACTTGGGACAGTGCTAGATGGCAGTCACACAGCCAGCACCCTCTTCCTCCACAGGGGATTCGGTTGCAGATGTCCCTGTCTGGCCCTGGTCCCTCTCCCTGCCCTGTGGCTTCCTCTGTAGCCCTCCTCCTCTGTCAGTGACGTGAAGGTGCTGCTTCCCAGGACTCATGTGTGCGTCCTCCACATCATCCTCTCTGGCTCATGGCTTCACTGCACACAGGCAATGAACCCAAATCTGTACTTCCCTGGGCCCTCCTCCACTGAACGCCCTCACGTGACTTAGCCTCGGGGAAGGCTCCAGCCTGCTTCCTAAGTGCCCACCAGTGGGAGCTTCTGGTGTTGCGCTGTCTGACAGCCACCTTCCCCTTCTAGGACTTCAGTGGATACCAGGTTCTGCTCTGTAACGAGTGGCCCTCGGCTGCCTCTGCTTGGCACCACTGGTGTCTGTCCCTGCCACCCTGTCCAGACACCAGTGGATTTGTTTCTCTCTGCACACAGCTCATCCTGGACAGCTTCTCTGCCTCTGCCTAGTGCACGCCTGCCTCTCCGCAGCCTGAGCTCTTCCGGGAAGGACCTGTGCCTCGCAGAGAATCAGACACAGTCTGTGGGCAGCACTGAGCAAGGGACAAAGTGTAGGGCAAGTGTTGAATGCGTGCTGTTAAATCAGTGCAAGAAGGAAGAGTCTGTTCAGGTAGTGTTGCACACTTGTAATCCTAGTTACTTGGGAAGCTGAGGCAGGAGGATCACACATTTGAGCCAGACTGGGCAACCAAACAAGACTCTGATTTGAAACAGAAAAATAAAATAACAAGAGACTGGAACTGTAGCGCAGTGGTTAAGCATGCTTTGCCTAGCTCAGTGATGGTGCGCCTTCAAGTGATTTCAGCGATAACAAACAGCCGGCTGCAGCATGAAGGCTGCAGGTTTGTTATCAGCGGCCTGGCATGTTTAAAGCCTGGTTCAATCCTCAGCAACACATGAAAGAAAGGAAAAGGCAGAAAGATGAGTGCTTTGACAACAGCCAAGTATTGCTGGTTCAGGAATTCGTATTATGAATAAAAGGCAGCTACAAAGAAGGCAGCTGTGCATCTTGGCACATCAAGGTCTCTGGGACGCTCTTACGTGGTCCTGGGCTGTGCCTGGGCCTTCACACAGGGCCACATCCCAGCCCTTTATTTGTTTGGGACAGGGTTGCTCTGAGTCACTCAGTGGCCCAGGCTGGGTCAAGCCTGTGACTTCCTTTGCTCCAGGCTCCGGGGCCTGCTCCACCACACCTGGGTTCTGACGTGCACTTGGCGAAAGGAAAAGGGAGGTGCACTGGGCCTGCCTGCACAATGCCACCGCTCCTCCCTGGGCTATGGCGGGTGCAGGTGGGGGCGGTGGAGCCTGGGAAGGAGCTCGACAGGGTTCACCGCTTGAACCCCTGCACGCCTGTTTTTTAGTAGCAGATGTCGACTTGTGGACTATTTTAACATAAACATAAAGTGGTTTTAAAAAGCCATAAACTTATTTTTCTCAGATGTAGCAAGGCCCCATCTCTTTCTGCACATCAGTGGGCTTTTCTGTTCATGTTTCATGAGGCCGTGTTTGCAGCAGTAATGACTGCATCCATCCTGGGGCACTGGCACAGGGACAGAACACATCCTCATGATTTGCCCACGCCTGATTCCTACCTCTTCCCTCTTTATTTGGAAAAGGTCTCCCTACTTCCCATTATTATCATCATCATTATTATTATTTTTGGTACTCGGGATTGAACTCACGATCTCGCACTTGCCAGACAGGTGCTTATGTCACTGAGCTAAATTCCTGGCCCCCTATTATCTTTTATTTTGCTCTTTGTATTTTGGGATTCTCATGTAAGAGAAACCATGTGACAGATATTAGGAACTTCCAGTTATACTGGACATGAAAAAGGGCAAACAAAACAAAGAAATACCTCTTTAAAAGCAGCCATTTGCTTCTGAATTCGATTGACAAATCTCCACTGTATTACAAGGCTAAAAAGAGAAACAATTATTCTTTTTCATATGAACCAAGAACAAATTTTATTTATGCCCATTAGAAACAGAAAATAAAGGCCAGAAAAGCCCGTGGCAAAAGCTGAATCTGAAGAGGTAATGCACAGGACAGCAAAGAGCATTGCCACCTTGGATTGGAGGAGAGGGAAGAGATAAAGTACAAAGGTTTTTGAGTGGACTGATAAAACACTTACTAAATATATTCCTTTTTGTTCTTATTGGTGACAACAATTTCTGAACCACCATTTTTCAGCTCATGTTGGTGTGTCTAAAATTAAACAAGAAGATACCATGTTATTTTGGCAAAACAAAAAAAGTACTTTATACACACATACACACACACACACACACACACACACACACATTTTATAGTTATACCAAAACCCTGGTGTTTAAATTAAATCCACTCAAAAGCTAAAAGCTAAGAAAATTTAAAATATTAATTTTGCTGAAGTAAATAGAGAGTGAGTCAAATGACAAATTCTTGCTGAGAGCTTTCTGTTACTAAAAAATAAATGTAAAAATAGCAATGTATTTAGTATGTGTATTTATATCAAAGACTAAGTTAGATTTGCTTCAAAAACTAAGTTTCACTAAGTAAAATTCACAAACCTGTCCAAAAAGTTCTTCATCTATGATAAACCTTAGGTCCAGTTCTGTTGGGTCATTTTCAAGAATCCATCTCAGTGAATTATAATACTCACTATCCTAGAAGGAAAAAAAATACATTTTAAAAATTTGTACATATAAAGATACCTGGGCTAGCAAAAAAGTATGCTCAAAGTCTGAATAGAGGGACAGGAGAAAGGGTTAGCTGGGCCATGCGCACATACACACACTACATATGGATGACCGTATGTGTGAGAGTAAAAACGTTGTACCTGGGAGAGTGGTGTCTGCTTAAAAGTGTAGAAATCTAGCTGAGCATGGTAGCATTGGCCTGTGAGCTTAGCACTCTGGGAGACTGAGGCAGGAGCATTGCAAGTTCAAGCCCAGCACTGGCAATTTAGCAAATAAGAGCGTTTCAAAATGAAAAAATAAATGGGTGAAGGATGTGGCTTAGAGAGAAGGCCCTGGGTTCAATCCTTAGTATCACAAAAAAGTTTCAAAATCTATCTTTATGTGGAATTAAAAGGTTAAATAAAGTGATTTTCAGTTAAACCTGGCACCCCCAGGTAACCTGAAACACTGGCACTGCTTTCACATTACTTAGCACACCGATGTTATATAGCTAGGAGGAGGCTGTTACACCTGGTCCAAGTTAAAGAAAAATCGTAAACATGAAAGCTCAATTAATCCACTCAAACAACTGGTTTATGAGTTGGGAAGAATCACATGTTTGCAGACACAGTGTGTAAGAAAGGAGGAGTGACCCACGTGTGTGGTGCTGAGGAAGGGGTCTCGGGACCCAGTGCCCCAACTGTACGGTGTCACTCAGCAGGGGCACAAGAATGTGACCTTGAGATTCAGCCTTGGGTGTCTGCTTCTCTGCAGAAGCTCCATCCTGCCTCCAGGCTACCACTTAAAACTCTGCCCACTTATCATAAAAGACCCCAAATTCAAAGACGGATGCAAGACATGTGGAGCTATGGCACAGCAAGAAGCATCTGGGTGAAGAGGACGGAACTCTGCAACTTACTTTGCAGAGTGAACAGACCATGCATTGATGGATGTAAGCATAGATAAGCTAGAAGCAGAAAAAAAGCCAACTGTGGGTGGTGGCTGTGTAAGTGTTCATGATAAAGTCCTTCCATTTTATCTTATGTTAGAAATTTTTCATAATAAAATGGTAGGGAAGATGTTCATGTGTTGAGACATCACAATTATTAATATCTATGTTGTTAAAAGCTAGCTTTTCAATGAGTCTGGTCGCCTGTTGGACCACATTCATGCTCTAAGCGAGACATACCACAGACTCCATGTCATGGAGCGTTATTGGCTTGTGTAGCATCATCTTGTAAAATGGGCGGATGAAAAAACCTTGCAAGAAATGAAAGACACTTAAAATGTTTACCAAGTTAAAGAAAACAATCACAATTCAAAAAGGAAGTTTCATACTTAACACGAACCATCCAACAGTTTGCCATGATACACTGCCATCCCCGCTACCCTGCCGATAAACTTGAAGTAAGAGAGGTGATCTTCATTACACAACCCAGAGTTCGCGTTGATCTGCAGGGTGTAATTATCCCTGTGAAGACAATCACGTGTAAATATTCCTCTTCATAGCGCAGAGAACAATTTAATATGAAAAATAATGATATACTTTATCTTTTTCATTATTTGCCTCTACTAGAACCCCATGTGGACTTAATGGTTTTAAAAAGCCGTACTTTCTGGGTAGGAGGTGATATTCCACAGTAGAGGGTTTACCCAGCTAGGCCTGAGGAGTGATGCCCAGCACTAAAATAAATTCTGCCAAAAGATGGGAGTAATCCAGGAGTCCACAGAATGGCAAACGGAAAAATGAACTATGGTGCACAGGTGAACAGTGAAATGGTGAACAGTGGAATGCACAGACGTGGAGGATAAATATGGCATGGCGCACCTGCGGGAGGCACCCGAACTGCCAAGTGCCAGAGAGAGGAGCGGAACCAGCTGCCGAGGCCGAGGGGCATAGAGAGATCTTTAGGAAGATGAAAAAGTTCTGGATACGGTGGCTGATGCTAGTTACAGAAGTGTGAATAAACTTAAAAATCAGTGAATGACAGGCAAAAACAGCTGAGTTGGTACATTTCACGTTCTAAGTATTGTACCGCAACCTCAGTTATCACCTCTCCTCTCTGGCGTGCCATAACTGCCATGCATCAAGCAACTGTCGCATTACTCACAGAACAGCAATGTTTTCCTTCTGTGCATGAAGGCATTTAAAGGTCTCTGTGCAGGTGCAGTCGCCTATCTCCTGGGGTGGCTGTGGCTGGAGGGTCACTCGAGCCCGGGAGTTTGAGGTCAGCCTTGGTAATGTAGTGAGACCCCATCTCTAATCAATCAGTCAACCAAGGTACTCACGTAGCAGAATATTCAAACAACCCATAATAAGGGTTAAACATCTCCTTGGAGATCAAGAAGAACCACTCCCGGGCCACGCCTCCGTAATCTAAGCCTTTCTCCCCATCGAACTCAATCCAGAGCCGGGCCTTGAGGAAGTCAGCTCTCTTCACACCCATGATCCTTCGGTAAGAGTCCTCCAGCACAGTGGCTCGGCGAAGTTTCATTTCGAATTTGTTTGGAATGTCATTCTGAAAAGCCAGAGAAGAGAGGCTTCCAGTGAAAATCAACTCAACCAGTGACAAGTCTGCCTGCTGTGGACATTCAGACCTGCACACCCTGCTCTGTCCAGGGTGCAGCTAAAGAGCCATGACAAGCATGCAGTCCCGATGCTGCCAGGCCTGGTCTCCAACTGCTCACCAGTGCAGACTTCTTGCTTCTGCACTGGGAGAAGCTGTTGTGGTGATGATCTCTCAGGCACAGCACCTTCTATGCCAGGCTCCCTGGGAGGCCACTCTGTGATGACTTCACGCACCGCTAGCTTTTCCCTGGGCTCCTTCTTCCTACCAGTGTTGGCAGGCTGTGCTAGGCCTGTCACTGTGCTTCCCCATCAATTCCCTCACTCTCCCAGGCAACACAGTGAAGCAGCTACCCTATCACCATCTCCATGTCACAGATGAAGAAAATAAGGTGAGTAGATTTTATGGCCTCAGCTCCCCAGCCCGCCCTTCGGTAACAGACTGCGGCACCTCCTAGAGTGTCGTGCGTTCTGTGCTATGTGACACATGTAGAGAAGAACCTTGCCTGGGCTGATCTTATTGTAAATTTTAAAGAATACCTGAGTATTTCATTGTTGAGTGCTTAAAGTATATTGAAGTGGCAACCTTTAGGGGAACACAAGCTAGGGACATTCTGTCACTCCAGGAAAAGAAAAGGCCAGCACTAAGGAAAAAGTTCAATGAAACTTTCAGTTTATTTACAGAAAATGTAAAGTTGTATAGAAATATATTGGGCTAAGTGTTTATATCAAAAATATAAACATAAGCAATGTCGCTTGCTCTTGTGCAATTTAAGTAACGGTAAGACTGGAGAAAAGTGGGTGCTTCAGACTGGCCAGGAAGCTGGTGTGGCCAGGCCCAAGCTGGGTGGCACCAGTGTGGGCCAGGGTCAGAAGTCAGGAACAGGGACAGGCAGGAGATGAGGCTGCGCTCTCATCCAGTGTGTAGGTGAGAAGCAAGTGTAAATGCTTATTCTGAAAGTTAAGAGTGAGACCCTGATTGCAGCAATGGTACCAGGGGCAGTGAGAAACAGGGATTAACTGTAAATGGGCCAGCCAGGAGGCTTTGCAAGGAGCAGGGAAGGACAGGAGACTTCACAGCTCCAGGAGAGTAGACAGAGAGGGTGGAGAAGGGAGGAAAGGCAGAGATCGTAGAGAAAGAAGGTGAAGACTCTCCTGGGGCCTAGGAGCAGACAGGTGTGAGTGGTGGACAAGTGTTTCTGAGCACAGGAGCCAAATGACCAGATTGGGGACAATGGCAGCTCAGTGAAGACTCTGATGGAGCCCACGCCAGAGAAGGCAGAGGCCGAGAGGGAGATGGGGTCAGAGAGAAAGGGCACAGGGACCGGGGTGTGAGGTGAGGGCAGGCTGGGCATGGGTCCGAAGTGGGCCGAGTCCAAGTCCCAACTCCACCACTCACCAGGCCAGCACATGCATATGGAGCACACCTTCTCTGAAGCTTAATTTCTTCCCTGCGCACAGGGGGAATAACACAATCCACTCTTAACGGGTTGTTTCAGATTTAATGGCACAGCACACCTAAAGTGCCTGAACAGTGTCTGGCCCACAAGGAGCCCAAGCACCACCACCCTAACCCAAGAGATGGCAGGGACAAAGAGGAGGGGTCGAGGCTGCTGTGCCCACACGTTAGGGCTTGCCACCTGTCTTGGTGTTCTGTTCTTTTGCTGCGAGGTTCTCGATGTGGACTTTAATGTTTAAATCCTGCTTGAGACTTTTTTCACTCGGAGGATTTGGATGCCCAGACTCTCCCCACATACCCGAACCTCTCGTGGAACAATTCCACATCCCAGCCTTTCCTGCTGAAGCTATCTCCTTACACGCCTCTGCTGTAACCTGTACAATTTCCCTATGAAGCCCTCTCTGAAGTGCCGACACGATACTGTTATATCATTACTCAGACTGTGGCCTCTGGAGCTGGACCATGGGGCCTGCACTGGCCTGTCCCCTTCCCACACGTGGGACTGGTCACATTACCTGACCTCTCCATGCCTCAGTCTCCTCGCCTATAAAATGTGGCAACACTCCCTCCCTTAACATGAAGAGAAATAATCCACAGTATCTGAAGGTGCCTGGGGAGAATTCCTGCTGTGAAGCGAGAGACTGACAAACATTGTTTTCATTAGAGTTTTTATACCAAGGACCCGTAACCAAGGTCTTGTCCCTTCTCTCTGCTGTGTGGAAGACAGGAACACATATTTAATATGTTTACATGGGCACTAGAACTTCTCTTCCACTAGCCTGTTCTAAGGAAGAATAGAAATATTTATCAGAAAAATGAATCAACAAAGATTAAGACCCCAAAGTCTAGAAATCAGAGACAAATTCCAGTAATTTAGACACAAAGCTATTCTTTTAGAGGTTTTTTTTTTCTTTTATTGGTACTGGGGATCAAACTCCCGACCACCTGCTTGCAAGGCAGGTGCTTATGCCACTGAGCTAAATCCCCAGCCCTATTTTTTACAGTTTAACAGGTTGGTGTTACTTAAGGCTTTTTCCAGGGCATAAAATAATTGCACCAACAGACTTCGATATTTCATCTTTTGTTAAAATTCTGGATGAAATCTTGTACCGTAGGGGCAGACCCACACCTTGATTCTTCAGAAAAGTGGCTCTCAGTTTAAAGCCCTACAAAGTGTGGCCCCATATCGCCACCTTGTGGAAATACTGCTAAACTGCAGGGAAGGGGGAAAATGGAGCAAACGACAACAGCATTAAAAGTGGCCAACACCAATGGCGGCGTACAGATGGGCAGGTGATGAATGGAATTCTAGAAACCTCGGCATGGGGTGACAGAAAAGCATGAAGAACGTATCTGAGTAGCGCAGGAGAAAAGCAAGCAGAGCAGAGGCCCACACAAAGCGTGTTCTCCTGTGCATTTGCACAGAGCACACTGTGTCTGACCTGAGAGAGGGAGCATCCACAGTGGAAAATACAGAGGTGCACAAGCTCCAGACTGTTTTCCAACTCGTGCATGACAAGGAAGACGAGCACACCAGACTCCACAAGCCCAGGCCCCATACAACCCACGAGAACACCAGGCGTACACACTACATTAAAATACCTTGAAAACTAAACACAGACTTAAACTAATTATGGTCTCTAATGATACGCAAATTATTTAAAAGATAAGCACCCTTTCCCAAGGACAAACCATTTGCGCAAAGGCATTTCAAACACAAACTTCCTATTATTTTGAAAAATGCATTTCCCAGTACTTACAAGAAACACTACTCACCTGCTTCTTCAACTTCCTTCGGAAGAACTCGTACTTTCTTTTGTAATCCCTGGAGTAGGGCACTGCCTTTGGTAGAAATTTTGGGAGGGTGGGGAAAGGGTTATTTATTTATTTTATCCTGGAACAACTTTATAAGTTTTCTTCTGAGTATTTTATGAAAATTAAGTTAAAGACATGAAAAGAGAGTGTATAGAAATTAAAATTTCACTCTAAGGCAAACAAACACAAATTAAAACTTTTAATTTTTCTGTTTAAGATGAAATGGTTTTTTTGTTTCTTTGTTTTTATCTTGGTACCGGAGATCAAACTCACAACCTTATGCTTGCCAGGCCCGCGCTTGTGTTGCTAGGCTAAATCCCTGGCCCTTAAAACTGTACCCAGCAATTCCCGTGGCTGTAATTTCATCACACAATATTACTGAAATGTAATATGCCAGAAATAAGATATATTCCAAATACAGAAATATTAGAAACAAAAATTCCCGTTTCTAAAAAAGACTTTCAAAGTGATTTCTCCCTTAAAGGAACAATTTGAAAAATGTACTTTTTCTTTTAACTCTTAGGAGTTGGCTTTCTCCATTATTTAAAAAATACTACATACTGATACTAGACAGCAATTTAAAAAGATTCCCATATGTTCAATTTCACTTATTTTTGGGAATTAGAAAAAGTCTGAACAGAAATGGAAAAAGTAGCTGTATAAGAGAGGGTGATGAGTTTTCTGTTGTTGACTGGAGTACTACAATCATTATTTTATGGTAATATTTATACTAACATGGGCTTGTCCTACATAGTAGGCATCAACGGTGACTTCCAGGAAAAAGCTGGACTGAGCTGGAGCTGACGGATGCCACCAGTTCCCTCCTGACTCTTCTGTGCAGGCAGCCCCACTGCCCGCACCAGTCTCCATGTACAGCCCATGGCCTCGCACTCCCCTGCTCACGCATCTGCCAGCAGCTGTGCGGGGCCGGGATTGTGCCCTGAACTGTCTTTTCACGTCACTGAGCGTAGGGGAGGTGGGCACGGGAAAAAGTGGCAAACATGCTTCCCCTTCAGTGGCTGCTGCCCTTGAAGATGTAAGAGGGCAACCCGTCCCTCCCCAGAGACTTACTGGTCCAGTTATGGCTACATTCTGCAGCCGAGGGTCTTCCCACTGTGTTCGTTTTATATCTGAAAGGAAGGGAAAAAAAGATCTTTCTCATGCACAAAATTCAGTACTACAAAAATAATGTCATGAAAAGTCACACTGCACTTACTGTGATTTATGTAGAAGATTCTTCCATCTGTGTGAGTTCTTTCTTCCCATCCTGGCTATAATTAAAAATGTATTTCAACCATGTCAGGACAGAGTTTTAGATGTATGGGTAAAAAATAACATTTGATTATAATCAAATGAGTAATTTAATTGCACATGCCGAGTTTCATAGGTGCCATCAGTAGTTTGATGCTGATGTTATCACTATTAAAGAACTACTATGTGAAAGTGCAAGCTGCTTGTGACAGTTAGGCTAGGTGGGGAGCAGTTCTGGGAACTTACAGGTAAAGGCCCCAGGTCCCCGGAATATTCAGGTGGTGCTTTTCCTCTGAGATGAGCTGGAATTTTCAATCTTGGATCTTCCTTTTGGGTTGAGCAAGTAAATAAAATAATAAACATACATTTTAAAAGAGTCAAAGTCAACGTGTTATAATGCTCTGTAGTATCAATAGGTATTTAAAAAATTCTCTTTTAAAAGTGCATTCATACTTCACTTCCCTACCCGACGACATGACAGTTCACTTTCAGGCTACACTGAGGAATGGGCCCTGCTGGGTCATCCTAGAGCATTTTGCCCACACACTGGGAACTGGTGGGAAGTTGGACTACATGTGATTTCTACACCCAGATGTGCTTTCTGCCTTATAACAGTTTGTGTGTTCATTGATCAGTATTCCTGAAAGATAGGGAAGTAACCCTTAAAAAGGTTATTAAACTTAATTCAGATCTTTTTTTTTTCTGCACTGGTGGTAAATTACCAAACAATTTCAAGATTTATCTTAAAATATATGTTCTACTGATTTGCAGTCTTTTTGATAAATGCGGTCTGGATTAAAAAATGCTTTGGAATAAAAAATGCTTTGGGACAATAAAGCCTCATATAAAGGTAAAGAGCTATTGCTAAAAGTCTTCCTAAACATTTACAGCCAGCAGGCTAAAAACCAGAAATAGGACATCAGTACAGATGCTTCCAGGACAAAATAAACAAGAGGCATGAGCAGATTTTGAGTAGCAGTAACATTACTAAGAAGGTGCTTTCTCAGTGAGCGCCAGGAAAGGCTGGTACATGATGGACACTTAAACATGCTAACAAACTCTAGAGAGAGTCGACTGCTGTTAGGTATTCAACTGTAGAGTCATCCAGTTACCCAGGTGGTGGTTTTGGTGTTGTGGTCGATGTAGAAAGGCCTCCCATTTGGTGCATGCCGAACCTCCCAGCCTTTTGGAAGGAGTCCGTGCTGGATTTCGGGCGGCTGGGCAGGAGGCTGCCTGGTGTCTCTCTCGGTGGCCGGCAGGCCGGCAGAAGAGCCCTGGCCAGAGGGTGCTGGGCTGGCTTCCAAAGTGGCCTAGTGGTAATGAGATGAGGTTGAGATTTCTACAGTGCTCACAAACAGCCATGTTTCAGAAGAAAGTGTAAACTGAAACCATGCACACTTGTAAACAGGCTCACACATCTGGGGCTTGACATGATACCATGATGACATGATTGAGTTTTTCTCTACACTTCATAGCTTTTTTTCCCTCAATTTTTCCAAGAAAGCATTTTGTCAAACTTTGTTTTTGTAATAATCTGTGATTTCCAGCTGCTTCTCCAGCAGTGTGATAGCAGTTAACCCATCTGTTGTGGTTGTGTCAGAATGAGGAGTTGCTCCTGGGGCTGGTGTGGGAGGTGGGCTCTGCACCCCAGTGTGGTGAATGCTCTGTATCTAGAAGCAGGTTCAAAGATTGGGTAGACAAAATAAATGACAACTATCCTCTACGGAAAAGGACAGTGGGAGCCAGCTGTGGTGGTGCACATCTGTAATCCCAGCACTCTGGGAGGCTGAATCAGGATGATCCCAAGTTTAAAGCCAGCTCCGGCAATGTAGTGACTTGGTGAGACTCTGTTTCAAAAAATAAATAAATAAATGGCTAGGGAGGAGGCTCTGTGTGAAGGCCGAGTTCAGAGTTCAGTCCCAAGTATTCCCCAAAAAGGTGGGGGTAACTGGAATGTAACATACACAACAGATTATCAGTAATTTAAAGAAATACACTGCATCCTACACAGTGTAGACAGAGCTTTAGAGCAATGTGCAGAAGAAGAGATTAAGACTTACATAGCATATAACATCTGCAAAATTTGAAACACACAGCATAAGCAGTTTATGCATTGTTTTGTCGGTGTAAGTATAGAAAATAGATTAGAAAAATATGTAACAAACTATGAATGGTAGTTCGCTCTGGGGATAGGACCAGTATGTTGACTGAGAGGGTTAAAATTCAGTCTTATATGTTAGACTGTTTTTTAAAAATAAAGTCTCTAGAAATGAATGTGGTATCTGTTGGTGATATCTTCTGGGTGTTGAAAATATGATTTGTTACAATAGTCTCTGCATTTTCAGTGTTAAAAATTTTCTCAATAAGAGAAACAGTGATAATATAAAAATAAAGATTTTATGAAACACAGGAATTATTACAGAAGGCATTCACTGTATCCAGGGTTAAAGTGCCATGATTGTGAATTGCTCTAGTAGACACTAATCATCAAGATTAGTCCTTTAGTAAAACAATGATCTTAATTATTCAAATTACAAAATCATCCAGTGGACCAGACTGGTCACTCTGTCCTCTTGTCCTCCATTTGAACTTGTTTTGTATAGTAACAAGGGGTAGCTTGTATGATAAGAGATATATACGGCAGAGTAAACAGCATCTGTGTCAGAAAGGAAGTAGAGGATGCTGGAAGCATCCAGGGTCTACCATGAGGCTACAGAACGGTTTACACAGGAGGGTGAAAGCTAAACCCTGTAAGAAAACATGCACTTCAGCGGCAGGCACCTGCACAGTGGGCTTTGTCCAGGTTGTAGTTCTGGAATTGTGGTCTACGTAATACACTCTTCCTCTTTCATCTTGCTTTTCTTCCCAACCTGGTGGCAATCCAGATGAAGTAGGCAAAAGCTGCAGTGCAGAAAGCCAGAGAATTATTTAAGAGGACCACATCTCTTTGCTGCTAGCTCTTTGAAATGAACTACATCTTATTTTCAACTAAAACCATTTAATATAATAGAAAATGGGTAAAAGGTACATTTTTAATTTAGTAAAATGAGCCATGATTATGCAAAATGAAGAGAACAATATTCCACTTGGGAAAAAAACAGAGTACATACCATAATGATGAGAGAGATTAAAACACCAAGGAAATCCGCCAACACTCACAGCCACACACTGTGCTTGACAGGGATCGCGTCATGTAACCCATGCCCATCCACCCCCATGACAGCACTGCTGAGATCGGTCCATTCTGCTGCCAAGTGACCTGCAGCTTAAGGAACAGCAGCCCCTGGCCAGGCCTCTTCACTCAGGAGGGACGACTGTGACAACCAAGGAGGCTTCCGCATGGGCACTGTGCTGGGTCTCGAGCAAAGCCCCCTGTATGGTCCTCTGAGGCTGGGGAGGCTGTTCACTGTGGTTTGTTACCACATATTTCCAGGGTTCCTTTGAATGCACTTAAGCCTGGCCTTCCCTCTGGCACTGTGAACCAGATCAATCCTCTCCCAGGCATGGCGTGGCTCACCATGCACACACCTGTAGCAGTAGCAGCAGTTTCCTGGACAGGCATGGGGCCCTAGGGGCAACTTCATGGACCATCTGCATGTACAAAGGCAGACAAGGTGGACAAAGCTGCCGAGACAGGAGATAGCATGCAAAGGCAAGGCCAGGCACACAGCCCACAGGACACACACACACAATCCTTGCACAGCTGTCACCACCAAGAGCATGGGGGCCGTGGGGCTGGGAGAAGCCAGGGGACAGAGATGGGAGGGCCTGAAAAAGGATAGTGGTCGTATCTGCTCAGCTGTGTGAACTCACTGAAACTCAGTTATCATGCATGGAGAAGGGAGTAGACTTTACAGTATTTAATATTGCAAGAAAGCTGTACAACAAAACCAAAATCCAGTAAGTGTACTGAGAACAGAAACGGGACATAAAATATAAATCACTTCTAGATTCTCTTGCTCATCTGGTGAACTCAGAGCTGCTTCTTGGTGAATGTCTCCATGAAAGATTGTGTTCTCATTGTGTGGAGAACACGGGGAGATGCAGGGCCAATGGACCACAACAAGACTTAGTGGGGCCTGGGGCCTGGGAAGGTGTCCCATACTCTCTCTCAGGACCACAGGGCTGGCTGTTCAGACAGCATAGCCTCTTGTGAGCTGAGGATCTCAGAACTGCACTCCTGTGCTGGAATTTCCATGAAAGCAAAAATTCCACTTTCCAAAACAAACATAGGCCATGATTCAACATTATAATGGGTTGGCAGGAAAAGAAGAAAAGGACATTGTGGTGGCCTGACAACTGGTGGTCAACTGGTAACAACCAGTGGAACCAAATCAGATTGGTTCAGATGGATGGCCCACCTGAGGATTGTTGCCAACATAAAAAGGAGAACTGGAGAGGAAGAAGTGATGCTGCTGGTTCTCCTGTTGCCGTGGGTTCACCTGGAGGAGGTGTCAAGCTTCTTTCCTGATATGAATTCAGCTGTTCTCATTGTCAGAGGAGCTCAAGATCTTATAGTCACTGAGAATGGATGTGGTTCACTTTGGGGAGGCTCTGGTCTTTACCGTGAGTATTGTTTTCTGGCTCTGGTGGGAAAGATGTGCGCTGTTCAATCTCCAGAAGAAGCTTGTCACGCTGGCTTCCTGACATTGTTATTGTCAGAGGAGCTTGGGAACTTGCTGTTGCTGAGGATGGCTGCAATACTTTTCAGGAGAGCCTTGGTCCTTACTTTGAGCATCGCTTTCTGACTCCAGAACTCTCAGCCTGCTGGCACAGATCCTTTACCCTGCTGGCACAGACTTTCTGGTTTCCACCACTGATCTTTGGGCCTTCCCAGCACCGATTCATGAAACAGACTTGCACGAGTCATTGTCATGGCTCTAGGTCTTCAGCCAGACTCATGCAGGACCTTGCCGTGGGATTCAGGCCCTTAACTTGATTTTTGGGGGTTTTAGAGTATGGACAGATTTCCTGCACTTTTTTTGTTTGACTCTTTAGGTGACTATTACAAAATAAAATAATTCCATAAACTATGTGTCCTGCATTGTGTGGTTCTCCTTGCAAACCCTGACTATAATAGACATGCACATGGCCAGAGAGGTGGAGGGGACCCAGACCCACAGGGAAAGGAGGGGAGCAGGTGGCTTCGGCAGGGGTCAGGAGAGGGCAGGCTGGGAGGCTGGCATCAGGCTTTCAATGCTAGAGAAAAGTAATTGAGGTCCAGATAAAGGCAAGACTGTGGGGCACATGAGACTCGGGCCAGGGAGGAGTGATGGGGGAACATAGAGCCACCCCAAACACCAACACAGGCTGGGAACTGAATAGAGGCAGAGAATCCCTTGCCAGATACCTCCTGTGTGGAGGGTCCCTCACACACAGGCAAATGGCTGATGGACAATTGGGTACTTGGGACACAGGCGCCAGAACCCAAGCTGCTGTACCTTGTGTGGGCTCCTCAGATAGCACAGCCCCGCCGAGGCAATGGCCCAGAGGGTCTCCACCACAGCCCTGCAGTGGCCAGGGTCCACATGGTCCCAGCACAGCCCTGCCAAGACCACAGCCCACATGGTCCCCAGCACAAGACAGCAAAGGGAGTGGGAACCACAGCTCCACCTCCTGTCTTCAGGCTCCTTGATGACTACAGACTAGATGTTTATGCTCAGGGTTTGCATAAAGCAATAAAAAGGTGTTGATGGCTGGGGAGAGGATGAAACTCACCACAGGAAGTGCTGGCTGCTCCTCATAAGTATAGGCTTGCAAGCTGCCTCTGCTGCTGGCGTGATTCTTATAGAAACAGAAGAGCAGAGCTTTAGCTTTGTGATGCAGTGAGGAGTGAGGGTCAGGCAGAGGCTCTGCTCCAGCCAGACTGCACTGGTGCCACCCTCACCTCCTGACATCCTGACATCAGGAGCTGGCCTGGTATTCACAGACAGTGCACACCTATAATCCCTGCAGTCTGGGAGCCTGGGGCAGGAGAATTGCCATTTAAAGCCCAGTGTGAGCAGTTTAGCAGCTTAGTGAGCCCCTGTTTCAAAATAAGATAATATAAAGGGCTAGGGATATAGCTCAGTGCAAAGCCCCAGATTCAATCTCTAGAACCAGAAAAAAGAAAAAAAAAGTAACTCCACAACTTATCTGAACACAGACAAAATGTGAATACCTCACGCAACAAAATATCAAACATCTCCCTATCCTGCTAGTGCCTGGTGCCCCTTCTTGCTACGCTTTGCTGTGGCCTCACGATACAGAAGATCTGGGATGTGCAATTATAGAACCCAGTGCTTCTGGGCAGTGTGCAAGGCCCAGCATTGTCCTGCTTCCCAAATCTTCCTCCAAATCACCTGAACCCTGTGAGTGTTTCTAACACTCTTACCAAGACACTGTGGTGTGTGCTCCTGAGGGCTTTGGGCTGGGGGCAAGGACATAATGAAGGCTTACATGCCAGTGACCACTGGGACTACCTGCTCTAGCTTATTACCTGAACATTTGATCACTCTATAAAGTCTCCAGGGCTCTGACATGTTACCCATACCAGTGAAGACAAAATTCTTTGTTAGTTGTTGAGTGGAATATTTGTAATATAAAATCCTGAAGCAAAACATAATCAGGAGTCTCTTACTGAGCTGGCTGCTGGCTGGCTGGCAGATGAATTTTGGTGAACAGTGAGCCTGGCACTCAATTCTTCTGCAAGATGGGGCTGAACATCCAGGAGACCTGGTGGAGGAGGTGGTGGGAAGGTTTGACTGCTGGACACGGCAGTTTCGTCCTCTCTTATAATCTCCCAATTCTGAAATGAGCAGAGTCAGCGTGAGCCTTAACATTCTCATCCACCATGCAGGCCTGGCAGTCACATCGAAAGCTCTGATACCTCGGACTCCTGTATGTCACTGCTTTCTGTTTCCTCTGATATCTGCCGCCTGGTGGTAAAGGCACGCTGTGCTTGCAGCTGAATGTCACCACCTTCAGCATCTGTGAGGTCGTCCCTGGAGGAGAGTACACAAAGCCATCACTTACATCTCAGGACAGAATGACAGGCAAGAGTTCTGTGGTCATCAACAAACTACACAGATCAGAACTGTTTTTGGCCAAAGGCTATTTCAACACGCGTGTGTAAAACTGTGGACACACTGGCACCTTCAGAGCACCTTAGGGAACCACAGTGATGTGAAACTGGGTCACATGTCTGATATTTTAGTTCATCACGGTGCTCAGGATAATGGATGACTTCTTCAGGAATCAGGCACCATGCTGGCAGCAGCGGAGTTAATCAGGTGTAGGCTTCCCCGTGCGAGAGCAGGGAAGGCAGAAGGAAAGACTGGGAGAGAACCAGGGTCTAAAGTGAGACTAACCAGGACTGGACAGTGCACGATTCTGTAAACCATGTCAGCCGCCATGGGGAGGGGGAGCAAAGGCTCGTCTGGATTTAGGGAAGCTACAAACACAGTTATTTCTAAGTCACATGACTCAGTTATCTGCATTTAATATAACCAGACTATCTGAATGAGGATTTGTTCAAATATCTGATAACAAGTATCAATTTATTTAATATCAGATAAGCCCAGGGCAGTGACAAGACCATTCTTTATTTTTATTTTGAGACCAGGTATACCTATTTGGCAAAACGTAATTACTGTTTTTAAAACTTGACCCCTGATAATTGTAGAAGCAGTGTTTGGGGTACTGGGTGATATTTTGATACATATTTACATTATTTAAGAATCAAATCAGAGTGCATAGCATATTCATCACCTCATACATTTATCATTTCTTTGTGGTGAGGACATTCTAATCTTCTAGCTTTTCTGAAGTGCTCAACAATGTTATTAATGATCGCCACCCAAACTTACCCTTTCAATCAAACTGTCCCATTGCTGGCCTTCCCCACCCTGGGTTCAAGAAGACAGGTTCTTGCTGTGCTTAGCTGGCTAAAATACAAGACTGACAGAATGTTTTAGATTGTTTTTTCTGCCTAAATATTTGCTTTTTGCTACCTGAAATGACTTCAGCCATAATAAAATAAATAGGGTTCTCAAGCTAGCTGGCCATAACATTGAGGCATGCAGCCAGGTAATTTTGCAGAATTTTAATGTTTTTGGTTCTGCAGTTTGTCATTTTATAGATATCAATGCCTCTTTGCCATGAAAGACTTACATCTCTGATTTACTTTGGAAAGATTTATGGATAGGAAAATTGTTGGGCTATATCTGATACAGAATATCAGAACCAAAAATTAGGAAGTTAATGGACAAATTTAAAAAATTATAAGAATGCATCCAACAATCAGACACTAAGAAAAGTCATCTCAGCCTAAATGGAAGGAGAAATGGGAAGGAGTTGATAATGGTAAAGAAAGAACTGGGGAATATATGTGCAGTCCGATGGTAATAAAAAATGCCCTGAGGAGATGTGAGCTAGGACACATCAGAGGCCGCTCTGTCTGATCTGTGCACTGTGGAAGATATAGGAACAGAAATCAGATTGCACAATAGGTTTTGAACACAACATCTTTATTACTAGGTCTCTGTATTTTACAAATATTTTATATATTAAAAATAGGGCATGGTGGAAATAGCATATTATATTTTTATTAAAAAACTATAAAATTTCTAAGATCTTTATTTTTGGGGGGGACAGGGTCTTGCTATGCAGTTCAGGCTGGCCTTTGACTCACTCTGTAGTCCAGGCTGGCCTTGAGCTTCTGGAGATCCTCTTGCCTCAGCCTCCTGAGGGCTGGGACTGTAGGCACATACCACCACACCCAGCTTCTAAAATATTTTAAAGTCAATTTCAGAAGAAAAGATTTATATAGCCAGGTGTAGTGGTGCATGCCTGTAATCCCAGCACTTGGGAAGCTGAGGCAGGCTGACTGCCATGGGCTTGAGGCCAGCCTGAACTACACAGCAAAAGTTATATATACATATATGCTATATAATTAATAATTTAAATTGAATCAATTAAAAAGGTGGTATCTGTGGGTCAAATGATTCTGAATATTATCAAATCAGGTTTAAAAATATAACTGAATAACATTTTTTAAGCCCTGGGCCATAAAATCCTGGTCTTTTGCTGGGCTTGATAGCATAGACCTGTTATCCCAGTACTCTGGGAGGCTGAGGCAGGAGGATGGCAAGTTCAAGTCCAGTCTGGGCAAGTTAGTAACTTAGAAAGACATGGTGTCAAATAACAAAATAAAAACAGGCTAGGGATGCAGCTCCGTGGGAAGGCCCTGGGTTCAATACCAGTAACACATATACACACACACATACACACACACAGATAAGCTGGTCTTACAGTTTGATGGGTCCCCCCACCACTATGCATCTGTCTGAGATCTGACCTCAAAATGAAATTAGTGGTCAACCAGTGCCCAGACTACAAACATAAGAGCCACGGCTGCACTTACTGGGGGGTTGGTCTTTTCCACTGGGTCCTCCGGGACTCATGGTTCACGTAGTAGGTCCGCCCGAGGATATCCTGCCTCTCCTCCCACCCTGGAGGAAGGGGAGACGGCTCCTGCTGCAAGTGGGAAGCAGCATCTGGTTGGTCCAAAACAACCCAGCCAGGCTGAAACACAGGGTGGAAACAACCAAGAACTGCATAAGCCATCTGCCGAAGAGGACAGACAGACCAGAGATCCAGCACACAGATTTCAGAAAGCGAGCACTGACAGACTTAGCACATCTTCAACTGTGAAGTCCTAATATGAATATTTTATGAAATGATCTTTGCTTCACAAAATGATAACCACTTGGATTTTGTTTGAAAACATTCTGTAATTTTTCCAAAATTTTTTAAACGTGTCTAACAGAAAAGGAAGGGACCAATAATGCCTTTACATAAGCAAACACCTGAAGTGGGACGGTGTGGAGAAACTCCGACACTCAGGGGACGCTGGGCCAAGCAGGGACTGTTCTCTAAGTCAGAGAGACTTGCACAGGGCTGGATAGTGTACAACGGGCACAGCCCCACCAGGGGAAGGACACTGCTTCTGGTGGAAACGCCGCCTCACGAGACAGGAGAAGATGAGGAAAGTCAGGCAGATTGTCAGGTGAGACAGAACAAGAGACACGAGACTGCCTCACTGCCGTAACTAAAGCCTCCGTTCTCATTTGTGTTGGTGTCTGCATCTCTGGGCAAGGGCACGCATCATGGTCAGGTCACAAAGCAGCGAAAAAAAGAAAGACCAAGAGACAGATAGACACCTGGGAGTCTAGTTTCTCTGAGTCTAGCAAGAAACAAAACACATATCAAGCCTTGGCTAGACGAAGAGAGGAATAAACGGGCAGTGAGAGCTAATGGCATGACTTCATATGAGAAATCTTACAACAGAAGAAGTGTCAGACAAAGTATTTATAAATGCCAGTCCGGTTAGGAAAGTGTTGGATATCAAAATAAACTAGTAAAGAAAAGTTTAAGATACGCCTTAAAGAAGACCTGAATGAAAGAAAACACAGCATTATCATGGCTAGGAAAATCCACTCACAAAGGTCAATTCTTCCCAAGTTGATCTATAAATTTGCCAAGATTATGATAAAACTACAATATGGATATATTTTTTTTTTTTTTGGTCTTTTTCTTTTTATCGGTACCGGGGATCGAACTCATGACCACACACTTGCAAGGCAGGCGCTTATGCCGCTGAGCTAAATCCCCGGCCCCGATATTTTTAAATAACACAAACCAATTGTCAAATTCAAATAGAAATGAAAACTAAGAGTAATAATGAGCCTTAACTCTAAAAAATAAGAGCAATGAGTGGAGAGCAACCCAACAGAAAAAAACGTTATAAAATGCAATGGTTAAAACTGAGTGTGGTGGCACACACTTGTAATCCCAGCACTCTGGGAGGCTGATGCAGGAGGATTGCAGGTTCAAGCTCAGCCTTGGAAACTAGTGATTTGGTGAGTCTCAACCTCAAAATAAAAATCAGAAGGGGCTGGGACCACAGTGCAAAGGTCCTGAGTTCAATTCCCAGGACTACAAAAAAAAAAAAAACAAAAAATGATGAATCAGCAATGTGGCTATGGTGCATGTAAGGACAGACGGCTCAAAAGAACAGATTAGATGGGGCTGGGGATTTAGCTCAGCGGCATAAGCACCTGCCTTGCGAGCAGGCAGTCATGAGTTCGATCCCTGGTACTGACAAAAATGAAAAAGACAAAAGAAAAAAAAAAAAAAAGAACAGATTAGAGAGGGCAGCAGACTCACACGGAAGGAATTCAGCAGAGAATGAACCTCAAATCTGTGCAGAAGAGGCAAATCCTTAGAAAATGGGTACCTATTCACTTGTTTGTAATTGGCCCCCTACCTCATATGTTATAGTAGGAGAGGTTACAGAGGAAATAATAATTGTACTTTTTGAGATAGGGTCTTGCTATGTTGCCCAGGCTGACCTCAAACTCAAGCAGTCATCCTGCTCGCACACCTCACCATGCCTAACACAGGTTTTGAGTAATACTTTTATTTTACCTAATTTTTTTGTGGCATTGGGGATTGAACCCAGGGCCTCTGCACTGAGCTTCACCCCAGCTCTTTTATTTTTTATTTGATCCTCCTGCCTCAGCCTCCCAGAGTTTGGGATTATAGGTAGACCCACCACACCCAGCTAGACTGAATAATATTTAGATGCTAGAGAATAAACCCAAAAGGTTAGAACTTTGGCAAATTTAAAACATATATTCCAAGAATGGGAATTTGCTGAATATAATCTCAAACCTGAAGGGCATCAAAGAGAATATCTGTAAGTTTGACTACAAAATGTAGCCCCCCAAGCAACTTAAGTGGCTTACTGAGAACTTGTCTCAGAATCAAAACCAAAACCAACCAAACAAAAAAGCCCTAGAAGGTAGCTCAATAAGAAGACCTTTGGTCAGTTACCAGTACCACAAAAAAACCAAACCAAACAAACAAACAAGAAACAAAAGCTAAGGTTTCTCTCTTAAAGATCTGTTTTCTGCTATCTAAGTATATTCAAGGAAATTTTAAAAATTGGATAAGGGCCTTTTTAGAAAGCCTGTTTAAAAGTTGAGGAGATATAGTTGTGTACTCAAATGCCATTTAGCAAATGGGTTTTCATTGCTTAGGTAGAATCCTGTTAAACATTATCATCTACTACTTTCTGTAAGACGAGCGTCTAAGAATCCATGACCCTTAGGAAGCTAACACACAGCTGAAACACACAAGGGAAAGCAGCGGCATGGGAAGATGCTCTGGAGCTGAGAGGCTTCGCCCACTTGCCACAGGGAGCATACACAGCAGACCCTAGCGCCACAGCAGGGACCAAGTCGAATGTCACAGGACTACCTACCACAGCTACAATTACTAAGAAACACAAACTGCCGACGAGTGGATCTCTTTTCAAAAGTACTACCGGCTTCTTAAAATAGTAGAATTTTATATATTTGGTTAAACTAGATGTCAGACCAAACCTCTCTGGTTGTCAGCTACCCAGAAGGTCACTGTAGAAGGGCATGTGCTTTGTAAACAAGTCCCACTCACATCTCCTGAAGTGACAAGGTGTACCTGGGGACTCCACCACTGGAACACAGGCACAGCACGAGGTGAACGGCTCTGCCCACAGGCCTATGTGTGAGTGGGACCTGGGACCTGTGACTCAGATGTGAGGGCAGAGCCCAGAGCAGGTTACTAAGCAATGAGATGGTCTTCATTTTTTAAAAGTTATTAAAATATTTTCTTTCTTTAATATAGACATTTTTCATTTCAAATATAATTCCATTTTGCAAGATATCTTGTGCACCAAGCTTCTAAAAATATTTTGGTATTTTTTCTTTTCTTTTTTTCTTGCCTTTTTTGAGACAGGGTCTCCCTATGCAGTTCAGGTTGGCCTTGAACTCACTTTGTAGCCCAGAGTAGTCTTATACCTGCAGCAATCCTCCTGCCTCAGCCTCCTGAGTGCTGGGATGACAGGTGTGCACCATCATGCCAGGCTCTAATAAACATCTTAAAACTTTAAAAGTAATTATATGAAAAGCCAATGGGAAGACAAGGTAATAAAGTTGGGTGCAGTGGTGAATGCCTGAAATCCAGCACTTGGGAGGCTGAGGCCAACCTGGGCCATGTAGCAAGACTTTGTCTCAAAGAAAAATTCAAGTAACTGAAGACAGACTTGAGAGTATGATGTGTTCTTTGCTCACCAAAGTGGGTCCTTTATCCATACTCTATGATTAGAAGAGACAAAATCTGTCCTTTATATTACCATACTTTATCCCACAAAATGAAGTTTCACTAATGCACTAAAACATTCTCAGAAAACCCTGCTCAAACTCACTCCCTGCCGCATGAGGATGCCCAGCCCTGCAGACCTCTCTTGGTTCCAGCTATCCTAGATACCACAGCAGAAGCCCAACCAGAGGCAACACTGTCGGGAACCAGAAAGGAGCCCCAGAAGCAGTAGTGCTGATGCCACTGCCAGGGCTGCTAGACAACTGTGGCCCAGTGGTGAGCTGGCCTTCAGGGGACCTCGAGGAGCAGCATTTGTGCCCTTTTCAGATCATGAATCTCCCTAAGGGAAGAAGCTCCAGAGGTACTGGGCATGGCCTGTGGCCCAGGGATTTGCGTAGCTCTCACAGGGTACTGCCCCAAGTCTCCTCGGTCCACCCACTGGACACTACCCAGAACTTGGTGCTGATGTCCCTTCTGTCCTGTCGACCTGAGAAGTGTCACGTAAACATGGCTTTTCATTAGCTCACACAGAGCTCACTTTTCCTCCTTTGCTCGAGGCTTCCCACAGCAGAAAAGTAACAGAAATTACGAGCCATAAGAACACTTACGCAGACTTCTCAAAATGCCCATATATTTAACTTACAAATCCAAATTTTTCTTGCTTTAAGAGAGAACAAGACATCATTTTAGAAAACTCTGAAGCACTAGGAACACGTAATGATTTAATTAAGATACAAGCTTTCATTATAAACACTGTACATGCTGCTTCTTAAACTAACAAGGCATGGAGGATGGCCATCACTGTAGAGAAAGCTACAGAGGAAAAGGAACAGTTAATAAGTGCTTGGGGGAAATAAAGGTCTGAAATAATTTTTGGTACACACTTTAATTTCATTGAATGAAGTTATATTTCTTTGGAATATAGTAAAATAAAATTATATATTTTTTAGTTTAGCCAAAATTTATAAACTCTCACCTCTAATTCCTCAGCCTGTTCTGCATTATCATCTTCTGAGCCACTGGTTTTAGGCAAATAAGTCATTTTTAATCTCAGATAACCTTTAACTCTTGATTTGTGACTGTAGAAAAGAAAATAATTATTCATAAAACATTAACTCTAGGCAGAAAGTATTATTTAGTAAGTTTACTGAACACCTACTAGCTACTAGGGAGTTTCTAAAGAAGGCTGAAAGACAGGTTCTAGTGCAGTAGACATTTGGGAAAAGGCGTACATGGTGGAGGGAAAGGAAACACATGCAGTGAGCTATGAAGAAGAGGCCAAACTGAGCTGTGGCGGCACACACCTATACTCCCACCCAGCACTTGGGAGGCTGAGGCAGGAGGAATGCCCCATGTTCAGGGTCAGCCAGTATCTGAATTAGATAGTGAGATCCTATCTCAAAAAATAAACCAAACCAAACCAAGCCAAGCTGGAAAAAAAAAAAGAGGCCGCAGAAGTTCAAGTAAAGGAGCAGCAAGTGCTTCATGGAGGAGCTGGGACTTTGGCTAGGCCTGGAAGACTGCAGAGGATTTGATCTGTAGCAGTTGAGGGAAGGGAAGAGCTGGGAAGCAGAAGAGACAGAGCCAGGTGGGTGGGGACAGTCCAGATGCTGAGGATGAGCAAAGCCAGAACTCCAGCTTTATCTTACACAAGTTGGGAGCCACACAGCCCAGGACAGGAAAGCACATCTGCAGAGATTTGCATGGGACATTGACTGTCACAGGCTGCAGGGTGACAGGAAGGACCCTGTGGTCCTGCGTGGCCTTGGCTTCACATTGTGTTACTTCTTTTCAATCACAGGTCACCCGGGTTAAAGGCTGCTGCCCACTGTGATCATGTTTTAAATCTTTTTTAAAAATCTGACTTTCATAAGCTCCTAAGACTTAATTCTATCTCTTTCATTGCTTCCATTAATTTCAGCATTCAAAGATTTCCTTAAGAAATAGTTCTTAGCATCCTGAATAGTTTCTATTTCCATCTTGGTGACTTTCATGGATGGCAGTCATACAGGCAACTATCCTTTGTCTTTCTAGACAGCTGTGCTCTAATCTTTTATTCGTCTTTGAGCACCACCCCATCATTTCAGTTGTTCTCTGTAAGTTCTCATGCATTTGGCAAATTTTGTGTTTCCTGTCCCAAGCAGTCAGGAAAATCTTTGGCTCGTGTTTCCAGGACCACTGATATGCTTCCTCAGCAAGGATGACACAGGCTGACCTGCGGCCGTGAAGGTTACAACGGCTCAGAGAACATTCTCAGAAAACAAGTCCATGGCTGTTTCTTATCTTCCCAAGCAGAAAATAAGCCTATGGTTTCAACTTAGTGGGCTTCAAATATGAGAATGGAGTACACCTCCTATCTGAATAAAGCCTTTCTTCCACAGTTAATGCAGATACAGAAGTGGCAACATGTTATTTGTAAAAGCAAGATGGTAAAAAGCATCTTATAAATTGAAAAGCAGGCTACTAGAACATCAAATAAGAGAAGAAAGATTTGCTTAGTTACTGTTGGTATGCAGATGTCACACTCAGTCTAGAATTAAAGGGAGACAAGAGATTTACACCCTAGACTCCTAGAATTAAATATGATGTTGCATATGCAGAGTAAACATTAATAAAGTCACAGCGCTGTCTTTCATTTTGTTTTATATTTATACTATAAAGAACAATTTAGAGAAGTCGTTTCAAGTGAAAAATTTTGCTGAATTCCATTTTCAAAGGCATCTTCTAGTTTAAAAAACATGACGAATACTGTTGTTTCCACAGATCTTTCTCTGCTGACTCTGAGTTCTCTGACAGTAAACCTACACACATTTTGATTAGGTTTTACTTGACTGCATGGCATAGAAGATTAAACAGTTTTAAAATTTTGACAAAAATCAAGTACTTCAGTTTAGGAAAATGGAATGATAAGCTTCTATTTGGGTTTTAAATTCTAGTCTCTACTTGTATAGTTTTCCCTAAATACTTCTAAAATATTGTTTAAAAATTACGTATGATGGGTTGGGGGTTTAGCTCAGTGGCACAAGCACCTGCCTGGCAGGCACAAGGTCATGAGTTGTATCCCCAGTACCAATAAATAAATAAAATAAAATAAAACAAAAAAAATTAAAAATTATAGTATGCAAAGCATAGTTAGATTTTCCCAAAACTGGCTTTGTGCATGTTGTTTGTTTTAAATGTTTGTGAATTTTTAAAGCACAGTATGACAAAATTATCTATAACCTGATATAACAAATACATATCATGACAAAAGTTAGCCTTCTAGTCTGATGCTGAAAACCTTTCCCAAAGGGTGGGATCTGTTGCTGTATGTTCAGAATGTACAAATGGTACTTTTAAATCAGAAAGAACAATAAAGCTTAAAAATCATAATATTTCAGAACTGGCTTATTTATAAAGGTTTAAACCCTGAATTTCTAAACAAGCTACAGTAAGGTTTAGTGAGAGATAAAAACACTAAAGGTGCTGTGACTTTGCAGTTACTGACCTTTTTGGGTGAAGAACAAAGTCCTTAAATGTATATGGTCTCTCCAGTCTTGGGTTCTCTGTCTAAAACAAAACCGTAGGTTTTCAAGAGACAGCTTTAACACAAACAGCACACACTTAACATTCAGGAGCCATGATCTAAGTATCGCGGTGTTAAAAGTAAGATAGCACAATTTTAGTTATCACACTGGTGATTTCACAGTGTGAACTGAGCTAAGCAGGCAGCACTGTGGCCACCAGCAGGCTGGACAGAGGACAGCAAAGAGACAGCAGGGGGCAATCCCTGCAGGCAGGAGGGATGGGGGCCAGCACAGACCACAGACAGAGGCACCAGGAGGGTGCACCTCTGCAGGCTGGCGAGAGCCCACAAGGGCCCAGCTGAAGGGCTGCTTAAGGCCTGTGGGTCTCTGCACACCAGCGATCAGCTGAGGGAGCCTTTCTCTCAAAAGTGCAGGAACCTTCTGTCTGCTTGCACCGACCTTTACTCCTGTGCTGTGCTATCACCTCCCCTCTGTTTTGAGGTTCTTCCAAGGTTTCGTGACTACATCTACAGGGTTCTTCCCTGTTCTCCACTGCCTGTCTCCATTTCTCTGGTTCAGCCTTGTGAAGGCTGACAGCTTTCCTCCTTCCCTTACTCCCTCCTTTCGTCCTTTCCTCCTTTCCTTCCTTTTGAGTTTTTTTGCAGTACTGGGTTTCTATTGAAATTTGTCTATGACTAAAAATACATTTCTTGCATTTCAAAATTAATTGGCTTTTCCTCTTCCTTCTTCTACTTAAGACACCACTTTTATCTTCCAAGTTCAGTCTGTACTATTTGCTTTCTGCTTGGTCCAGTCATGGGCTATTTGGAAATGTTTCCTAAATCTGACAGCTGTCCTCCATCGTTGTACCACGGTCTCACAGGACTGGTGTGTTCTGCAGCTCTCTGTATCTTTGCAGATAAGCTGCAGGTAAAGAGCTGCTGCAGAGAAGACTGCTGTGGAAAATTGAAATGGATTTTCAAAAGATATGTTGATGAAAAAAAGCAGTATGAACTTTATAAATCTTGACATTAGCCATATATGTAAGTATTTATTCAACTTTAAAAAGAATAAACACAAGAAACAGCATTGTGGACAACTATACCAACCGGTAATGGATAAAGAGGAACATCCACTTGACCTAGGAAATCATCTCTTGTCTATAAGAGAAGAAAAACTAAGATTAGTAATGCTCAATTCCTTTAAAAGATTTTGACGAGATACTGCCATCATTCACAGAAGTGTAGGGTTTTTGTTTAATACTACAAACCATCAGTGAAGAATAGAAAATGAAAAGGAGGGTTGTACAACTCCTGGAATGGCAGAGCAGCACACATTCAATGAACCCTTGGGCGAATAGTAGTAACCTCGACAAAATATAAAAACAACTTAAGAGCACAACAGAGTGGCCAAAACCAAGAAGATACTGGAGAGAAGGCAGCCCAGAGAGCAGAGCCACTCCAGAGACCTTGAATCCACAGTTTGCATGTCACACAGCCAGAGACAGGAGAAAAACCACAGTGCTGCTGGTTCTAGGAGTCAGAAGAGCCAAGTGAGGTTAACAGCATACCCAGACAGTGGGAGAGGAGATCCCGGAAAGGAAGAGGCCACGCACACCCTCCAAATCTCTGTCCAAACAAATATCTATCTATCTATCTCAACAAATCTCTGGTTTATCCTTGAACTGTACAGGAAAGGTGAGAGCTCTAAGACCGAGAGGACTGGACACAGCCCCTGGTCCAGTCCCAGGAGACCACACCCCCAGGATGGACCACACTCTCTGAAGAGACTACATTTCCAGGGGAGACCATGTCACTTAGGGGAGATAGCACTGTGAGTCCAGCCCAGTTCATTTGCTAGAACACAAATTAGCACTTCTCAGGGAAAAGAAAACAAAATTACTCTCCTCATTATGTATGAGGTACACTATCAAGCACACAATAAAAAGAAATCACTAAGCCCTCAAAGAAACAGAAGAGCACAGCCAGTATCAAGAGAAAAGTTAATTAATAGGAATCAACCACAGGATAACCCAGCTCCTAGAATAAGCTGACAGGAAAATTAAATCAGCTACTATAAGGGTGTTCAAAGACACAAAAAGAAAATGAAGTCATAATGAATGAACAAATGGAGAATCTCAGCAGTGAAGCAAAAACCATAAAAATGAATTAAAGTTATATTTCAGACTGAAAAATATAGTACACACGAAGGTTTAACACATGATTAACGATATCTGGGGAAAAATTATACGAATGCTTAGATAAGTTACTGAATTTATCCAAAATGGAAAATAAAGAGGATTTGTGGGAAATTTCCAACTGTCTAATATATGTGTGTAATGGTTGATACACTGCATCAACTTGAGGTCAGAGTTTAACTAGGTGACTCAGCAGGGGGCCAGGGTCCCTAGTTTGTAACATCCCCAGCCTGTGCAGGACGGGGCATGTAAGTGCTGCAACCCCTCCCCGAGGGCAGCAGCCTGCACATAATAAAAGGAAAATGAGGACGGATTGATTGCTGGTTCTTCGGAGGAGTTCCAGTCTTCACCTTCAGATTGGACGTCATCTCCTGGCTTTTGGCACAGACCGTCTGGCTTCTACCTGGAACTCTTCAGCCTTCCTTGAAGACTCTTTAACGTTCTGTCGCAGATCCACTGGTCTGATATGGACTTGCACAGGACACTGCAGTGAACTCTCGACCTTGGGCAGGATCCTTCAGCCTCCAGCGTGCAGACACCCTCTGCATGCTCCCTCATCCGACTCATGGCGGACCCTCGTGAGCCAATCTGGTAAGTTATTATACGTTTGTGTATCTTTTTTCTTTCTTGAGACAGGGTCTTGCCATGCAGTTCAGGATGGCCTTGAACTCACTTTGTAGCCAGGCTGGCCTCAAACTCACAGCAATCCCCCTGCCTCAGCCTCCCAAGTGCTGGGATTACAGACATGCACAACCATGCCTGGTTTACATTTGTGTATCTTGTGTTATATCTGTTCCTCCAGTAAACCCATACTGATACAATGCATAACTGGGCCCCAAGAAAGAGGGTGATAATGCAGAGATAAGGCAGAAAAGTATTGAAGGGGAAGAAGAAGGTAAAAGGCTTCCATATTTGGAAAAATAGAAACTTTGATATTCAGCAAACTCAGTGAGCCGAAGCAGCATAAATATAAAGAAAACACGAGTGAGCACAACCCTGTTGAAGGCCAGAGACAAAGCAAAGTCTCAGAAACAACATATTAGAAACAAAGGCAGCAAGTCACGAGGCAGCTGGCAATTCATCCAGCACCAGAGTACCAGACAACAAAGCGACACTGGCTGATGCTGAACGAGAAAAAGTGCCTCACACCCCATACGCAGCAGAAGATGCTCCTCCAAATGGGAAGGAAAGTGGGGAGGCTGCCAGGGAAGTGAGGTTGAAATTCACTGGCAGACTCGTCTACAAAAGATAACCATCACTATTACTATTTAAACAAGCTTTGGTTAAACTTTTTCCATTTTTACTTTTCATTTTGAAATGTCAGATTCACAAAATATGATGCAGAAGAGTGAAGCCATCAAAATAAAACCCACCAGGTGTGGGGCACACACTTACAATTCCAGCACTTGGGAGGCTGAGGCAGGAGGATTGCTCTGAGCTCAAGCCCAGCCTGGACCACCCAAGTGAGTTCAAGGCCGGTCTGCACTACATAGTGAGGCTGTCTCAAAACAAAAACAAAAGCAAGCGACAAGCAAGCAAACAAAACCCCCCACACAAAACCGAAAGAAAAAAAAGTTAAAAAAAAAACCCCAAAACTCATCCTCAACCTCTCAGTGGACACACTGTTATCTACAGAAAAAGCATACCTCCACATAGCAGTTTACAATGCGCCTTGTTGTAACACAAGCATATGAGATACAGGTGGCATAAGTGGACCTGCATTCTGGTAAGACATTTTTCATGGAGTGGTATGACTTAGATGAGGTAATCATTAATTAATCGTAGAGCTAAAAAGCCAAGAGAAGAATAGAAATGGAATATTATAAATACTTGATCAACCCAAAATGAAGCAGGGAAAAGAGAAAACAGATGGGACATACAGAAATTAACAGCACATTTTTGATAACTAAATCTAACTATGTATGATGAATCAAATACTCCAGTTAAAGACAGATTGTCAGCTTGGAAAGAATGGAAGACCTAACTGTGTATCGCCTACAAAAGATAACCATCACCTTTATTATTTAAACAAGCTTTGGTTAAACTTTTTCCATTTTTACTTTTCATTTTGAAATGTCAGATTCACAAACAGTTGTAAAAATTGTGCTAAGAAGTTGTCTATACTTTTCACCCCGCTCCTTACATGTGAATATCTTATGTAGCAATCACATAATGATCAGAGCCACGAATACTAGTAACTGGCACCCAAAGATTATACTCAAATGTCACCAACTGTCCCACTAATTTTAATGCAGGGTCCAATTCAAAATCACACGTTGTGCTTAGTTGTTGTGTCTTAGTTTTCTTTTAATCCAGAAAATATCTCAATCTTTTTGTTTTGTTTTGTTTTATTTTATTGAGACAGGATCTCACTATGTAGTTCAGGCTGCCTTGAACTCATTATTTAGCCCAGATTGGCCTTGAACTCACAGAGATCCTCCTGCTTGTTTCCTGAGTGCTGGGATGATGGGCATATGACACCAGGCCTGACTATCTCGTTCTTTTTTATTTTTCATACCTTGACATTTTTAAAGAATAGTATTAGTCTTCTATAAGACTATCCAATTTGACTTAGCTAGTATTTATTAATGGTTAAATTTAGATTGCACTTATTTTTGGCAACAATATTATAAAAGCAGTGCTTGTGTTTTTCACAGGATGTAGTAGATTAACTAATGGTTAACTTGTAAACACCCAGCTTAACTAAATCAGTTTGGTGCCCGGTATGGATGACTCACCTGAGGATTGTTGCTAACAACATGAAAAGAAAAGTGGAGGGGAAGAAGGTGTGCTGCGGGTTCTCCTGGAGAAAAACTTATCATGTTGGCTTTCCTGATTAATTAACTCAGCTGTTCTCACCATCAGAGGAGCTCTGGACCTCGCTGTTGCTGAGGATGGCTTTGGTTCTCTTTTGGGGAGCCCTGGTCCTTACTTTGAATGTTGCTTCCTGGCTCAGTGCAGATGCCTCACCTGCTGGCACAGATCCTTCATCCGGCTGACAGACTTTCTAGCTTCCATTACTGACCTGTGGGCCTTCCCAGTGCAGATCCTTGATACAGACTTGCATGAGACATTGTTGTGGGCTCTAGGTTTCAGCTGGACCCATGGAGGACACTGCCATGGGAATCCAGGCCCTTGGCTGGATTCTTTCGTTCTCTAGTGCATGGACAAATCTCTTACACTCCTCTGCATTTTGGGTGACTATTATAAAATAATTCTATAAATTATGTGTCCTGTATTAAGTCCCTTGTAAAGCCCAAATACAACACAAGGCAACATAGCAGAAGGCACAGGAGGCCAGCTTGTCCTGCTACTGGGGATATTAACTGGTCATCTGGTATGTATGCTGGATTCTGTCCTGTAATGTCAGTATTTTTTCCTCTAGTTAGCAGTATCTGCAGGACAAACACTTCAAAGCTGTGTAAATAACAACAGACAACAAACACCACCCAATTAAAACAGGCGTAAGGCTGAACAGATTTTTCCAACAAGAAGATAACTGAAAAGCTAATAGCACATGGCAAGATGCTCACACGACTAGTTATCAGGGGAATGCAGAGGAAATCTCAGCGACGTGCAACTTCAAACCCTCTGCAAGAGCTGACAGGATCTGTAAAAGCCTGATGATAGTGAACACTGGTGAAGATGGCTGCTATGAGAACTCTTATAAAGTTAAACAAATACTATTCTATAATCAAGAAATCCTACTCTACTCTTCCATGAGAAATGAGAACAAGTATCTTTAAAATACTTGTTTAAGAATGTTCACAGAATTTTATTCACAATAGCCTGAACTGGATACAAAAATCAAATGTCCACCAGCAGAACAAACTGTGGTAGATTTAGTCGAATTAGCATAAAAGGACATGAACTGAGACATTACAATGGAGGAATCTAAAGATGTAAAACATAATGAGGGAGAAGCCAGGCTCCTGTGACACTGACCCATCAGTCTCCCACCCC